TTTTTTTTTTTTTTTTCATTAAAATTTGCAGAATAAAAAAAAAGACCATCTGGGATGTATTAAATTGCGATGCGTCATATGTATTGTTCGCCTTAAACAGCAGCTTTTTCCACCCGCCTGCTTTTTCTAAGCCGATTATAGCATCCATGTTGATCTAGGGTGCTAAAGTAAGGATGGTGTACAAGCAAAAATTTTTTAAGTTGAAAATTTCAACTTTAAAAAAAAGTGATGTTCGATGAACGAACTGTGTGCACTTTCCAGTTGCTGTGTATGCCGGAAAACCATCCGACAGCCGAAAAGCTCCGGGAACTAACTTCGGAAGTTCAGCAAAAAATCATGAGCACATTGGAGAGCCGGAAACAAGAAGACGACTCTGAGCAAGGGGATGATTCATCATATTTTTTACCATTTGAATCAAATGTAGCTGCTCTAATGACCACCGATCGATCGGATGAAGTTTGAATCTTTTCAGTGATACTGACATTTGTTTCTTTTATGAAACTTACTGATGATGAGGATTATTTACCTTTCCAGTCTTCCTTCACCTTAAATTCATTTCATAATAAATAGCTGAGCTTTTTTTTTTCCCTCAGTTTTGGCTTGTTGAGAAACCCAGCGGCATTTTGTTCCCTTTTGTTGTAGCAGCAGTTGTTTTTCTCATTGTTTTTTTTGATTTATATGTGCTTTGGTTCTTGTTAATCATAAGTGAATTTTGTTAGTGGCCATGGTATTTTGCTAGTAATAATGAATTTTGACTGACTGCACCAGTTTGTGGAGTCTTGAAATTAAAAAAATTTTTGTTCTGTAACTGAAAAAATGTTTTGAAATGGGAAATTTTTTTTTCCGGACCTGGCTGACCGCATCAAAAAAGTTAAAAAAGTGGAAAAAAAGGCTTTATAGAAATGGACATTTAAAAAAAAAAAACACTGGAATGTGATTTGATTCAAAACTCCCCATCAGCGATGACTTGGTGAGTTGTTATTACTAGCACTGGGGCCCTGGGATGAAGATCCCGGAAATACGAAAGATACTTGGTGAT